TATGTTATATGAATTTTGGCAATATCACTTTTGACACCTTACTTTCCATGAACATTTTTGTACAGATCTTTAAAAAAATGTATCTATGGGCTAACAAGATGGCTCAGTGGGAAAAGGTGCCTGTAGGAAAGGCTGAAAAAATGAGTTGGATCTCCAGGACCCACACAGTGGAAGGAGAGAGAACTGACTCCTGAAAGTTGTTCTCTGACCTCACATGTGCCATGGCATGCAGGTGCATGCATACACAGAATACATGAATAATGTAAACCGTACTGTGCCTCTGATTGTTGCCTAGCATTTTAAGCACTCCCAGACCCTTTCAGACTATGACATGAAGTGTTCACAGCAGATAGGCTAGGGCTGATTTGGAAGGATGTGACCCAGGATTCTCTGGGAACACAGCTCAGGCCTCTGTGAGGCTCTCTGGGCCAGCACTGAGTTGTACCCTACTGGCAACCCCCCATTTGCAGGTTAGTGGTGCTCAGTGACAGCCCACCCTGGTGGGAGCTGCAGTCTCCTGCTGACTTGGTAAATAGCCTCATTCCTAATTTATCCTTGGTCTGAGCTGTGACCCAGATGCATTCATTTGAAAGAGGCCTGACTGGGTTTGAAGACAGGACTTCTCTCGTCTGGGACTTAGAGGAAAGGCTTCCTGCCACCATGGTAGAAAAATGAGAAGTAGAGCTGCTTAAAAATATAGAGACTAGATGATGGAAAACTCATTTAGTCCATCTACTCCAATCAGAGAACTGGTCCTTGTGGTAGACACAGGAGTTTGAGGCGGGAAGATCAGTAGTATGAGGCTAGCTTGAAAAACTCTGAGACCCAAACAAAACGGTAAATAAAATCAAGCCAGACCTATATTGTCCACCCAATTACCCAGAGATAACGGAAGGTCTACACATTTCTGGCTCCTGCATCATAATTGCAGTGCAACTTGATACCACTAGATGGCAATCCCGTTCTAAAGTGGGTTTCATGCAAGCGATTAGGACTAGCTAGTACTTTAAATGGATTATTTTCAACCTATCAGACTGGGGGAAAGTCTTGCAACTTTTCTGTTGATGAGGATATGGAAAAATCAGAAAACTAGACACTGTTTGTAGGTGTTTAAGTTGATAATGTCATTTTGAAGAGAAATATTTTAATTATTTCTTTTATTTTTTAGAATATATTTACATCATTTCCCCCTTCCCTTTCCTCCCTCCAAACCCTTCCGTATACCTGTCCTTGATCTCTTTCAAATTCATGAACTTTTTTCATTAATTTTTGTTAATGTACATATAAATATGTTACATATAACATGTTATATTTACATATAATATATATTTATTTATATATGTTCCTAAATAAGTTCCTGGGTAACTTATCCAAGGTCACAGCCCTAGTAAATGAGAGTCACGACTATGTTCTACTTTACACTGTATTGCATGTGCTTTGCACATACTGGAAAGCATGTAGAGAAGTGTTCACTGAGGGGCTGTCGGCTCTCAAAAGTTAACTTTATAACTCATTAGCATGGCAGTAAATCGTGAGGGAATGCCACAGAGTAGTTAAAACTAATGCCAATGTTGGCTGTGGCATGCATCTTTAACCCCAGCCCTTGACAGGCAGAGGCAGGAAAATCTCTGTGAGTTTAAGGCTGGCCTGGTCTATGTAGTGAGTTCCAAAACAGGCAGGGATATGTAGAGACACTTTCTCAAAATAATAGCAATAATAATAATAAAAAATGCACCATATCCACATGTGGTCAACCTGGATAGGTCTCGAAAACAAATTGCTGAGGGGCAGGGCACAGCACTTGTACAGAACATAAAGGCCCTTGTTTAATTCCCAGTACTGAGAAAAGATTAAAAAAAAAAAATCTAAGTACTAAAAACATAAAGTAAAACTTCCTTATGGAGACCAGTCCATGTCCTAAATCTATAAAAGTATACATTAGAAAGATCCAAACATACCGATGTTTGTCTCACTGAGGAGGGGAGTGGGGTCAGGAAAACAAACAGAGTGGACTCATCTGTTAGTGTTCTTACTTCATATTTCCCATCTGTCTATAGCTCTTAAGCAAAATGGGAGGACCTCAAAGCCCAACTCAGAACGTCCCTTTATATTTATCGGGCTTGTGGGGGGGGGGGGAGAGGGGGCAGAAGGAGATACTTAGGGCTGATTGCTTTGGAAAGGTTTCCTTTAGGTACCAGTGCAAAACACGTTAAGCGTTTCTTTAAAAATAGATGTTTGGCTATTCCCCTGCTTCACTTTTCTGCATCTGGGGGAGGGCAGGGTAAGTTGTAATCAAATGTTAATTGCTCAGGTGGAAAGCTGGAGTGATTAGAACAAATTACCCCCTTCTAGCGCCAAATTGGTTACCTAGAAACACAGTCTCACTAACCAACCTTCTTCCTGTATTTGGTAGGCAAATTGGTTACCTAGAAACACAGTCTCACTAACCAACCTTCTTCCTGTATTTGCCAAGGTCAACACATAAAACCACAGGGTCACATGCTGACAAGTTTCCCTATAACTTAAAAATAGGTTCTTAGAGGTTAATGTTCTCAGACCGTCACAGGCTAATGGCTGCAATGAAGGGGTCAGGTCTGAAGGGAGGGTAATTTTGCGTTAAATTGAAATTGTTCTTTATTGTCAGTGCCTCCCCCATTCTAAAGCAGCGAATGAGTAGAGTTACATCAGGTTGTTGCTGTAGTACTGGGGCTAACCCTATGCCCTTGTACATGCTCCACTTTGGAACTATATCAGCAGCCCTGAATTATATTGGAAAAGAGAATATAGTGAGCTATGTCTCAAAAACTAAGAACTACCAAATCATATCTTATATTCCTGTAAGGAAGCTGGAATGGCTCAGTGAGTAAAGACACTTGCTATCAAGCCAGACAACCTAAGATTCCCAGAACTGGGGCTGGAGAGATAGACAGCTCAGCAGTTCAGAGCACTTACTGTTCTTGTGGAGGACCCAGGTTCAGTTTCTAGAACCCACATGGGTTTACAACCACCTGTAACTTCAGATCCAGGCTTCTAACGTCCTTTTCTAGACTTAGTGCGCGCGCGCACACACACACACACACACACACACACACACACACACACACACACACTTTACAAATATTCTTATTAGACTCTTTTCTATGTGTTTGGCCTGCATGTATGTATGTGTACCACATGTGTGTCTGGTGCCTGTGGAGGTCAGAAGAGGGCATTAGATCCCCTGGAACTGGAGTTACAGATGGTTGTGAACCATCATGTGGGTTCCAGGAAACAAAACCTGCGTCTCTGGAAGAATAGCAAGTGCCCTTAACCACTGTGCCATCTCTTCAGCTCTGTGAAATCAACTTTTCAGAAAGAACAAACTTCCCAGGCCCCACGTGGTGGCAAGAGAACTAACGCCAGGAAGCTGTCCTTTACTTGTAAGTGTGCACCCGCACATACACACGTCCTTTACTTCTAAGTGTGCACTGCACATACACGTCCTTTACTTCTAAGTGTGCACCCGCACATACACGTCCTTTACTTCTAAGTGTGCACCCACACATACACAGTCTTTTACTTCTAAGTGTGCACCCGCACATACACATGCCCTTTACTTCTAAGTGTGCACCTGCACATACACATCCTTTACTTCTAAGTGTGCACCTGTACATACACGTCCTTTACTTCTAAGTGTGCACCACACATACACAGCATGACAAATGTTTTCAAAGGGTAAACTGTTTTAAAACCTTCAATAAGTGTGCTATAGTAGTGCACACCTGTACTCCCAGCCCCCAGGAAGCTCAACTAGGTACAACTATATAGAATATCCAAAGCAAGACTGGGCTGGCTACGCAGTGAGACCAGACCCTGTCTCAAAATAAGAACTTTAATATATAAAACATTTTATACTCAGAAAACTCTCTCCACTGGATTTTAATATATATCATTTAGAGGAAAAGGAGGCATCCCAAAATGAGTAATATTGTCACTCAAGTTTGGCTTTATTGCTCTATGCCTTTAACAGTGATCATTTATTTCTTCTTGAGTCTATTTTCCCACGCTGGCCCTCACCTTTTGGGTTCAAGACATCTTCCTGCCTCAGCCTTCAGAGCAGCAGGACTTTTATATGTGATACCATGTCCAATTAAGTTTTTTAAAAAATGCCCATGTGAGTATGTAGATGTGAGCACAGGTGTCCTCAGAGGCCAGAAGAGTGCATCAGACTCCCTGACTCTGCAGTTAGACTATTGTGAGCTCCGTGTGGACGATGGGAACCAAGCCTGGGTCCTCCCGTGTGGACGATGGGAACAAGCTGTGAGCCCTTAAGGAAGGAATTCTGCCTTGGAGCTGTGCTTTCGCAGTACTTATACCGACATTAGCATTTTCCAAGTCAGCCTTCAAATAGAACTCAACACCAGTAACTCTCCAGGGAGCAGCTACTGTGCTCTCTGGGCCTCTGGCATGGACCACTGTTGGAATACAGAGCCCTATAGTTTAAGTCAAACCAATAATCTTTTTTTTTTTTTTTAAGATTTATGTAGAGTGTTCTATCTGCATGCATGCCTGCACACCAGAAGAGGGCACCAGATCTCATTATAGATGGTTGTGAGCCACCATGTGGTTGCTGGGAATTGAACTCAGACCTCTGAAAGAACAGGCAGTGCTCTTAGCCTCTGAGCCATCTCTCCAGCCCCAATAAATCTTATATTTTCTTGGTTCACTTCCTCTAGTAAACCTAACACATTTTTCTATCTACATCTTACTGACTTTGTCAGGTAACTATGGTTGAGAGCTCACTTAGAATACCTTCTTTCATGCATTTATATAGAACTCAGTAGGCTACTGGGCTGATGGCAAAGTTGTGGACTTAAAAACCAAGTGCAAGGATTAGACACAATAGTGGGGCACATGCCAAGAGTTTGCTCCTCAGCACCACAAAAAATAGATAAACAAATGAAAGTAAAGTTCAAACAATTTTCAGGCCCATGAAATTATCCCATAAAGACACCTTTAAATAAAAACAAACAAAACTTTTTATTACTCTTACTATTATTTTTTTCTTTAAAAAAAGCTTATTACTCAAGACTAGCCTGGTCTACAGAGTGAATTCCAGGACAGCCAGAGGTACACATAGAAACCCCGTCTCAGAAAACAAAACAAAAAGCTCATTATTTATGTGTATGTGTGTGTCTATGCATATGAGTACGGGTGTCCTCAGAGTCTAGGAGAGGGTGCTAGATCCCCTGGAACTGGAGTTACAGGCAGTTGTGAGCTGCCAGACATGGGCACTGGGAACCAAACTCTGGTCCTCTGAGAGACTAGGAAGCATTTAACTGCTGAGTCAGCTAAATACCTTTTATTTTTTTTTTTTTATGACTAATGAAAAGTAAATGTGATTACAGAACCTATAATTTTAAATTAGTAGTGTAACTTAAACTCTACGAGGTTTACTTTATAAAATAGAAAACCCTCTCCCAGGGAAATAATGGCATTTATTTAACTTTCCCAAATTCAAAGACAATCAATGATTACCTACAAACACAGGGGGAAAAATGGATTATCAGTGTTGCTCTTAGTTGAAAAACCCCACAATAGTATTTTTTTTTCTTTCTAGTACATGGCCTGCTGACTGACATTAGAAACAGGGTACTAAAACCCTAACAATGGTGACCATTGCTGGGGCTTATCTGTATGGAAAAGGATCTGGCCAATGATGTGCTGAGTGTTCCAGCTTTCTACGCAGCCAGGTTTACTCTGGGTCAAACAGTCACATGTGAATGAATTCAATGTTAAGAAGCAGCTTTCCCCTAATGACACAGGAGTCCTACTGTATAAAGCACCTTGCAGGAACCTGTTACAGTGGTGATGGTTGATGTGCTCTCCCTCTACACACCCTGGCAGTGTGTGACCCCTCCCCTCCCTGAGAACCCTAGGGACATGCTTGGCACATGAAGCTTCACTGCCTTCTGATCTCAATTCAAAGACTAGGCATTCTGCCAGGGAAACAAAAAGATTTGCAAGAGAGTCCAGAAGTCACCAAGGTGACTGCCAATCCTGTGTGCCCTCTTCTCAGGTAGGTAGCAGTCAGAGGTACGACAGCTGGTCCAGTGCTGACTTCTAGACTTTCTGGCTTCTCAGCAGCAATAAGTCCCAACAAATTACATCTTCAGTTTGTGTTAACGTAACTCTCAGATTCACTGAATGTTCCCAAGTAATATCCTGGCCTCTAGTCTGGCTTTGGAATACTCTGATTCTTTTGTTTTTCTGCATATTCTTCTAGTCGAAGAAGCCACTTGGCCCAATACTTGGAACAGAGCTCTTCATCCATGAAGTGAGGGTGGGCAGGGGACCCGTCTTTATAGGCTACCACAATTAAGCCACACTGAACCTAGAAAGAAACACAGCACAGCTTCAGTATTTCCTCTTGTTTCAGGGCAAACTATCCAGTGCTAAGTAGTATCTCCACATCAGTTTCTAATATGGGCTAGTTAAAGATTTCACCAGGACACAGAGAACACAAAGATGGTAGATAAGACACTGAAGAATGGACTGTGCTCATTAAGCAAGAATGGGGGTGGGGAACAGTCCAGGAAGGGAAGAAGTGCTCTACAGGTGAGTACAGTAAAACCCCCAAAAACACACACAAAAAGCTTATCAAGCAGGAGCTCAAGGTTCTGACCTGAAAACTGTAGTGGGCATCATGGTTTTACAGCACCCATATACGCCACAATTTGTAGTGGGTTGTCATATGTATTTCGAATAAAAGGTTTTGGTTTTTCTGATGTCTTCCAATCGATCACACACAGCTTGCCTCTAAGGAGAATCCAGAGGAAGTCTTTGTAAGTAACAATTCAAATTGAAAACCGCGCCTTGCTGCCAAGTCTGACAACCCAAGTTCAATGCCTGGGAGAGGCATAGTAGGAGAGCAAACTCCCAAGGTTGTTCTCAGATCTCCACATGCACACCATGGTGTGGGAGTGCACACGCGTGTACACACACACACACACACACACACACACACACACACACACACACACACACACACGATAAATAAATAAATAAAAAAAATGTAATTTAAAAATCCCCTGAAGCCAGGGGGTAATGGTGCATGCCTTTAATCCCAGCACTCAGGAGGCAGAAGCAGGTGGATCTCTGTGAGTTCAAGGCCATCCTGGTCTAAATAGTGAGTTCCAGGACAGGCAGAGTTACATAATGAGAACCTTGCCTCAAGAAACTATGTAATCAGAGGTTCAAATGCCACACACACAGATTCTACACTCTTTCCCCCACATCCTGTTATTGCTCACATGCTTTATTTGGAATGGGGTATCTGTAGAAGATAGCCACCCTTGGAATCTGGAATGACTGGGGGGAAAACATTAACAGCAGCAACTTAGAAACTGTAGCCAGTTCAGAATCCTTATCATATCAGCCACTGCCTGGAAGCCAGGAAGAGAGTACATGTTCAGGGCCAACAGATCACTGTCCAATCTTTGGGAAAACAGGAAAAAAAGGTGGGGAGGGGTAGGGAAACCAAAAGAAAACAACACTGATTAAAAGGGAAACCAGAAAAGAGCATGCAAGAACCAATCGGGTCTTGCAGCTGGCATCTTTCTTGGGGAGAAGGGAGAAGGGACAGGCTGGAAGATAAGCCATGCTGGGGCTATTGAAAAACACACCTTTCCCTCACCACTTTGATTTTCAGATGGCACAGAGTATGTGGCTTTCCCTGCTGTATCCTCCCACCTCCTGCCCTATTCTCACTTCTTTCTTACTTTAAAAAGGTGGAGGCCACAATTCCTCCACACATCTTCCGGTGGACTTCACTACACTGCCCATTGATGGAGACACTCTTGTACTTACTGGTACTCAGCCACACAGTCCAGCAGCCCTACATACTTCAAGGCCTCGTGCTTGACAGCACTCTCCAGAGCTTGCACACCACTGATTTCTTTCAAAATATGCTGGACACTTTTGATATAGCCACACTGGAGGTGCTCTTCTCTCCCTTTTAAGTTCTCCTGGGGTGAAAGTATGCTTTCCAAAGCTTCATGGAACTGTTTGCCTTGTAAAAAGGTATCTAAAAAGAAAGTCAAGGAAAAATAAAAACTGAACCAACCAAAACCAAACCAAAGCAAGATTAAAATATATACATATAATAAATATATATATTATACACAAGTTATCTTTAAATGGGCAACCCTTTAGACACAAAATTTCAACCTCTTTGGTTTTTGTAGGCAGGGTCTTGTTTGTACTATAGGCTAGCCTTCAACGTGCGATCCTTACTTAAGCATCATGCACTGGTATATGTAACTATACCCTGCAAAATTCAGTTTCCTGTGAAACCCAAGAATGCACTCTCCCTCCTCCCTCCCCCCACAAGACAGCGTCTCACTATATAGCTCTGGCTGTCCTAGAACTCACTCTGTAGCCCAGGCTAGCCTTGAACTCACAGAGAAAGTGCTGGGATTAAAGGCATGCGCCACTATGTCTGGCTTATCTTTATCTTTAAAAAAATTTCTTTGAAAGAGTGTAAAAGAAAAACCACAGGGCAGGCAAGCTGTAAATTTCTTTCTTCCCTTTTTTAATGTGTAAGAATGTTTTGAGAAAAAAAAAGACAAAAATATACAAAAAAAAGGCAAAAATATACAAAAAAAACAAAACAAAACAAAAGGCTGGGTGGATACGCCTTTAATCCCAGCACTCAGGAGGCAGAGCCAGGTAGATCTCTGTGAGTTCGAGGCCAGTCTGGGCTACCAAGTGAGTTCCAGGAAAGGCTCAAAGCTACACAGGGAAACCCTGTCTCGAAAAACCAAAAAAAAAAAAAAATATTTTGCCTTAATATCTGTGTACCACATATGTGTGCCTGTTGCCCATGGAGGCCAGAAAAGGGCATTGGAACTCCTGGGACTGGAGTTACAGGTGGTTGTGAGCCATCACATGGGTGTTGAGAATCCATCCTGGGTCCCCTGGAAGAGCAACAAGTCCTCTAAAACACTAAGCATCTCTCCAGTACCCAAGTTGTAAATCTTGGCAGCTGCCCAGAGAAGGGAGGGAGAGGAAGAGGAAGAGGGACAGCCATTCCTTTCTGAGATAGCCAGGGAGGTTTGGCAAGCAGCCATGAAAGAGTGAAAAAGCCAAAAGTACCAGAAAAAAAGCATACATAGTCTCTGGTCAGTGTCCAAAACACACACACACACACACACACACACACACACACACACACACACACACACACGGGGGAAATTTTAAATTTTGAGTCAGAATTCATGAAGGTGGCAGATCTCACAGAGCCTCATAGTAGCTCAGTGGAGACTGCATGGAGACCATGGGCTTCTGGGAAGGAAAAATACATTACTTCATTAAGGGGATAATTATTCCTTCCATTTCTTAGCATAGTATTGGGTGACTATACCTTCCTGAGGAGTGGTCCCTTAGTCAAGCTGACTGACCAGTCCAGCTGAATAAATTCTTCTGTTTTGTGTAGGTTGTAATACTAGGTTTCCACCCAGGCGGGAGGGAGATTTCATACTCTTGAGCAGAAGGAAATAGCTTTCACTTAGTAGACCTTAATGGAGCCCTGACTAAGGCTACAGTTACAATGTTTGCCTAGCAGGCACAGCTAAGCCATCTCCCTAGCCTTCTTTATATTCTTTTAAGTTAAAAAAAAAAGGAAACACAAACATATTTAATAAACACAAGAAATGCTATGTTGTCACTTGATCGTTGGAAAAGGAGAAGGAAAAAGAGGGTGCACTGTTAGGCTAGGTAGTGGCTTGGTGCTTTCAGGCATTACTTAATTCGCATACAACTCAGCAAGATAATGAAATGTGCTCCTCCACTAGCCTAGGCTGTCCTGTTTACCCAAAGCAAGAGGACCCTGGCACAAGACTCTTCCTAGCAGAGCAAGGAGCTAAGTAAGTTCAGGGAGTATTATTTAGATACGCACAGAGGCACAAGCTTGCAGACAGACCCACAGAAAGAGGAAACAATCTCATTCAAACGGGTCATAGTAAACCATACTATGTTTGTCAAGTTTACAGACTTTGAAAGGCTAGTTCTACAAAAGCAAAAATTAAAATTGCTCCTGGGAAATTACCGGAGAGGTAAATGGAACTCAGTTTAGGAGGTAAACTATTCTAACTCCACATATCCTTGGCCCTGTTGAAATTATCTGCATGTGAAAGGCCTACAAGAAATGTAACCCTGATGGAATTAAAATTTAAAAAGATGTAGTGTTAGCCTGCACACTACTTAATGAATCAGAAGACAACCTTGTTAAAACAGGAGCGGGTAGTTAAGTAGCAGAGAACAAGGCCATGAGTTTAACCATCAGCACTATCAAATAATACAAAATTACTTCATCCATTGCCATGCAAATAGGTCATTCCCAGCTACAGACCTATCCTGGCTAGATTCTTCACATATATGTAGCCATGAACATCTAGATCTGAGGATCCCATGAATTTTAGGCTCAGAAAACATTAACAAGACTCAACTTATAAAATTTAAAAACATTTAAAAATAGGTTAGCTGGGCATGGTGTGTGCCTGTGATCCCCGCAGTTGGGAGGAGGGAGGAGGATCCCAAGATTAAGGTCAACTTCCTTTCTCCTACCATTGCAGGAACCCATATGACTACCCCCTTACTTGAAAGTGAATTTGCTCATTGCTTAAAGTCCGTACTAAGTTAACAGAGAAACACAGCAGAGCCTTAGTCTACCGCTGACTAGGAAACTGTCTGACTGGACAGTAAGTTCAGCCAGTTCCAAATAGAAGCCTTCTCCCTCATCAAGCAGGTCACCAGTGTGTTTCTTTACTCTGTCAAGGCCTATCTATATGACCCAGGAGCTTTGTCTTTCATTTTTTAAAAACATTAACTAATTAACTTAGTGGTTTTTGGTTTTTGTGTGTGTGTGTGTGTGTGTGTGTGTGTGTGTGTGTGTGTGTGTGTGTATGTATGCACTCCCGTGTGGAGCTCAGAGGATAACCTGCTGGAAATGGTTCTCTCTACAGTGAGAATTCTGGGGATCCAGTTCAAGTCCTCAGGCTTGGCAGCAAGTGCCTTCTCACGTGTGGAGCCATCTTGCTAACGCTGCCTTTGCATTTCTTACTAATAATTTTAGGATTCCTGACAACTAAGCCATTCTTAGTTTAAGAAAACCAAAACAATTTATCATGAGGAAAATATCAACTCTAAATTCTAGTGACACAAATAAAAAACTTAGAATGTCGTTACAACGGTACATATAATATTCTTGGGGAGACAAAGGCTAAGGAATGTTTATGTAAGCACCAGTATTAACCAAAGACATCTATATAATCCTTATGAGACCAGTTCATCCTCCCATGCCAATGGCTTGCTCACAACTCCCAGCTCCACCAGCAGCAGGGTCTCCTTATGCAGTCCAGCCTGGCCTGAACATGTGATTTTACTTCAGTCTCCTGAGGAAAGAGACTACAGGTTTGCACCACCATGTCTGACTCAAATTCTATTTTTAAAAAGAATCTGCTTTCTTTGTTTCCAGACAGGGTCTCACTACTCTGCTTTGGAACTCACTCAGTAGACCAGGCTGATTCACAGAGGTCTATCTGTCTGCCTCTACCACCCTAGTGCTGGGATTAAAGGTATGTGCTACTATGTCTGGCTTAAAAGGATCTGCTTTAAGGAAGCTACCCTCACTTGTCTAATAAGTTAAGAGTCGAAGGCTGCTGAATATGACCAAAACACATTGCACAAACGTCTCTAAGAACTAGTAAAAAATTTAAAAATAAGAAAGCTGAAGGCTAAAGTTTATTTAACCAGTTTCAAGTCAAGAACATTTGATCAGTCCAATTAGTCAAAATATAAGTGGGGATCATGTGTTCTGGATTGTAGCCGGTCTTTAAACTTAACTGGTCAATTGACACTGATAAGTAGAACAATAGGCAATAATTAGATTCTGAGAAAAAAAATTACTAAAAAAGTAGACTTTTGTCAAGAGATGGAAAAAAATGATAGTTTGTTTACAAATCAAATGCATTTTTATGCAAGTTTGTCAGGTAACTTGACCTCTATACTTCCATTTTTTTTTTCCTTTTCTGTAAATACAGTTAATAGCAGCTAACAGAGGGATTAAGTGATTTAGAAGATATGGTGGGCATGGTTCTGGCAGGCCTTGCTTGTCTCTCCCACTAGATTACATTCCTAAAGCTACCACCAAGGTCTATTCTCTTATTTGGACACTTCCTTTTTCCTGAGGCTGACTACCAAGGTCCAGCTATCAAAGTATGGGAAGTCTAGCAATCAAAAGCCCCCTTTGGCTTGCCTAATTAACATGCCCAATTAAAATTAAACACAGGGTTTCCCCTTGTACCTTTATAAACTGCCATTTTCCTATGGGCCACATCTGTCTCCTCTCTATTCAGAGGCAGTCCTTTGTCCTTCCTGGATAAATATTCCTGCCCCCTTTCCCTCCTCCTGTGTTTGTCTCTCATTCTCTGTCCTTTATCCCTCTGGGGCAAATAAATCTCCTCTGTGCTTAGAACTTGGCCTTAGGAGTCCTGAGCCGATACTCTTCCTTTCAGACATGAAATGCTATTTAATGCTATTTGAAAATAGTTCTTCAGTTGTTTTTTAAGCCTCATATTTTTTAGACAGGAATGCGCTATATCCTAGAAACCAGTGACCACACATAACCAGAAATAAAAGAATTACTTGAAGTATATTCTGCAAATCCATCTTCTCCCAGCTCCAGAACCATCCGTTGTTTCCATCTCTCCAAAAAGAAACTCTGCTCTGGCGTCATGGTCTGCTGAAGGATGTGTGTCACACTGGGGATCACATTTCTTTGCAAAGGGATCTTCAAAGGACCTGAAGAAACACTTGTGTGTGGTTTCACATTTCTCTCTTCATTGAAGATAGGAAACCAGTTCTGTGGAACTCTTGCCTGCTGCTCTTGCCCTGGAGCCTTACGCTTACTCACAGGACCATAGAGTACAGCGTCTTCCTTGAACAATGACTCCGGGGTCTGGACCGGGGCTCTGGACAAGACGGACCGTACTAAACGAGAATACTTGGCCTGGTCTACTGCTTCGTAAGAGTTCTTTTTCTTCTGGCCACACAAATAAGAGGAAGTGGAGAGACTCACAAGAGGGCTTGGTTTTACGGAAACTCCGTTTAAACTTCTAAGTAACCTGCACGTGGTCAGAAATGGCTTCATGTTTAGACTTTTCCCCCCTCACTTTTCTCTAGTCTGTAATGTTTAAAAGCATGCTGTATTCTTATCTAAAAAGAAAAAGACAGTGGTGTTAGATTTGAGATGTTTTACATATTCAAACCATGAACGTGAAGAATCACACAAGAACAAACATCAAAAGTGCATACACTAAACTTCCGACATTTGGAGAAAAATCGTTTCCAAGAAAGATTCACCAAAATTGCAAGAACCGGCATTCGTTAACCGTCACTGTGTTGGCTGCTGGGGACAAGACACCCTAAACCATTAATCTGAAGTAATGTGACAGGGCCTGGTGGCACTGGCCAGGAAATTTAGTACCTGTGAGATCGAGATAGGATGATTGTGAGTTTGAGGTCAGCTTAGCTTCGTCTCAAAAAACAAAAACAAAACACCCCCGCCCACCACACACCCACCCCCAAAACCAAACTCACGAATCCTACTCAACAGTTAAACACCGGCACCTATATACAAAACTTTTTGTTTTTGGTTTTGTTTTTTTTTTTTTTGGTTTTTCGAGACAGGGTTTCTCTGTGTAGTCCTGGAACTCACTCTGTAGACCAGGCTGGCCTCGAACTCACAGAGTTGCGCCTGCCTCTGCCTCCCTCCCGAGAGCTGGGATTACAGGTGTGCACCCCCACCTCCCGGCCCAAACTCTTTATTAAACACTCTGTACGGGCATTTCTCGTTAATTCCTCACACCCTTTAAAGTGGGTGCTATTATGACCCCGTGGTACAAGACTTGGGACAGGAACCCCTGCAGGTCACGTGTCGCAGGTAGGTCTGCAGGGCCCAACAACGTAACGGCGGGGACAGGGCAACTGTGGCCCCTCGTGCTCAGGGAAGGGACTACGTAAATAGACGCTCGGCCTACTGCAGGGTTCCGTCTGTACCTGAGACACCACCACGTTTTGGAGCCCAGGGCGCGACCAACCTCTCGGGACCCGTACTTTTATGCGTCCCGCGCTTTTCCCCGAAAGAGAGGCGTCCCCAGCATGCACCGCGCCGTTCACGCCTCACCCGGGAGGCGTTCCTCCTCCCCTGAAGCTGAAGCGTGGGCGCCTCCAAGCCCCGCGTTTCCGCTCTCGCGAGATCTGGCGTACGTCACCGTCTGTCGCCATCTTGGACTCTGGCTGAGCCATAAATTCCCCCCGCGGTTGTGCGCGCTCTTTCTCGAGGCGCGCCTCGCTGGGAGAGGGCTCGGATCTCGCGTCCCCGTCCCGGCCTTGCGGTGCTGGTGTCCGCGTGGCGCGGAGCGAGGGTAGGCCCCGCGTTGCTTCTTTGCCCGGCTCCAAGATGGACGGCAGCGGGGACGGGGGAGGCCTCTCTGGGGGAGCACGTGGCGTGCCGCTGGCCTGCGCCCGGGGCTGCTGGGATGGTGGCGGAGTCCAGCGGCCTCCAGCCGCCGTCCGGCAGGGAGGCCGGCGGAGGCGGGGCCGCGGCCGCCCCTGAAAGGCGCCCCGGCGGCGGCCCAGCCTCTTCTTTCCTCGCACAGCCAGACAGCCCTCGCTCGAGGCCCGCGTCGCCATGGCCGCGGTTCCCGAGTTGCTGGAGCAGCAGGATGAGGACCGCAGCAAGGTGAGACCCTCCCTGCTTCGCTACCTAAAGTCGGAGGTCCCTCCGGCCTCCCTGGGCTGGCTGTTCCTTCTCCCGGGTTCGCACTTGCAAGACCCGGAGCTCCCCCTCCACCCCATTCCCAACGGCCCCTTTATAAATGCTTTCCTGTGGGGTCTCAGTGCACCCTCATTCTCTGACCAAGGAGAACCAGCCAGACAGGACCCTGATTCTTCAGCTCATGGTGTTGAGCCGACAGATGCTCTGCCAGTCATTCGAGTGCGGCTGTTGCCCGAAGACCTTAGGAGCGTGTTTAAAGGCTCCTAAAACTTAACTCCTTGGTAATTGGAAAGTGAATCGGAGGTTCGCTGGCGATTCCTACCCCCTTTTAAGAAAACGGGGCCTTTTCCTTTAAGCAAGTGGGAAAATTCCATCAAGAATCTGTGGCATCTTTCTTGCAAGCTAAAAAAGCTATTTGTGTCTTTGTGGGAGTTGTAATTTTTAGTAAATCCTGTGTGTTGATGTAAGCCCCGGGCTGCAAATATCCTGAGGTTTGATGCCATAAACGGAGATTACTATATAGACAATTAACGATCCCACTTTTATTGGTTCTTTAAATTTGAATTTTTCATTGCACAAATAGGTTATGGGTCAAGATTTTGTGTGCAGAATCGTCAGTATAGTTCTCCCAACAAATGAGCTTAAAAGAAATCCTAGAAAAATATTAGGAGCTCTTACGTTTAAAGAAGAGTTGTATTAGGTTTTTAAAAAGTATCTTTGAATGGACAAACTTTCATCTAGTCAGTAAGGACCAGTCTGGAGCACCAGTTGGATTGTTCCAACAACGGTATTGTTGGAACAAGGGTACTGTATTGAGATAGAGCTTTGTAGATGATGTTTTATTTCTTTTACATTAGAAGAATTAGCAACTTTTCTTTCTCCTAGCATTTATGGTAGGTGCTGGGTGGGATTTTGATGGCTGTTTTTTCTCGTTTTCTGACACCTGTTTCCTTGTAGCTTGGAGCAGAATCAGCTGTGTAAAATGACCTATATTAATTGCTAATAGATTTTAAAAGTGAGTTCACCATCACCCTGATCCAGCAAAACTGCAGATTAAGGGTTTAGTGAGTGCAAACACATACCTACAGTGGAGGACATTACACAGCTTTTGCTTCCTTCTGGTTTGAGTTAGAGAAATACTGAGATAAATTACTACTTTTAGCACGTGGTTTCATTTTTGTCACCTGATCTGTACTAGGCAGTGGCAGATCTGGTCTAGATGGCAGGAGTTATCTGAAGGAAATTTGGCAAGTGTCAAAATGGAACTGGAGTCCAAGTTGGGCAAATTTTGTCAACTAATATATTTTACAATTTTATTTAAGTACTCTAATTACTTAGCTTTTTTGTTTTCGAGACAGAGTTTCTCTGTGTAGCTTTGGAGCCTGTCCTGGAACTCACTCTGTGGACCAGGGTGGCCTCGAACTCAGGTCCACCTGCCTCTACCACCTGAGTGCTGGGATTAAAGGTGTGCACCACCATCACCTGGCACACCTTTCTTGTCAGGCGTCCAGTTACAGAAAGTCATTAAGTATTTGACATCATAGATTCATTGTGTGTCTTGGTGGGGTCCGTCTAAATTAGGGTAAATCAAGTGAAACAGCATTGTTTGTGTTGGGGTGTTGTGATTGTCCCTGGGTATTCAATTTTGACTAGATGCCTGTAATTCCATCTTGCTAAGGCAGAAGGCTCCCTTAAGGCCAGCCTGGACTAGATAGTGACCTATTGTCTCCGAAGAAGAAAACTCTGCAAGGGTGTGGGATCCCGTGCCTTTAATTCCAGCATTTGGGAGACAGAGGCAGGAGGATCTCTGGAGACCAGCCTGGTAGATAGTGGGGCTGTATGGAGACCCTGTCTCAAAAAAAGAAAATTCTGAAATGAGATTGAAAGTTGCGCCTATTTTAGCACTTTCTATTCTACTGCCATTTTTACTAGAGATTCTCCTTGTTAGAGGGCTTGGAATGTAACAGTGGTAACTTGTTTGTCTTAACATGAGCAATGCCCTGAAGCCAATTCTTAGTGCCTATAGCAACTTTGACTGGAACTTTCACTAATGTACTTAATGAATTGCTCAGATGTACGTAGTGACAAATTTATAAGTTTAACTGCTGCTGCCGTTTCTCTATAGATACTTCAATTAACTGTGATTGTTAGTTATAGACAATCTTGAACTTTGATCAGTACCGTAGCAAGTCTAAATTTATCAATTTTGTGCAGTGAAGTTTCGCACTGTAGTCATATGACTCAGGAAGTGTGGCTTCTCAAAGCTGCCCACGCCTTAGTTCTGGATCAGCAACTTGCACATGGTGTCTTAGTGTCCCATTTGTGTAAACTTCAGCCGGTTATGGTATTCAGGTTTTGGCTGCAGAAAGAAGCCTGCCAGCTTTTAGAGGATTTTTCTGGGTTTGACTTACTGTGATCTAGTGCTTATAAGTCAGGCTTTCTATCAAACCTAAGCCCTAGTGAAATTGTGTTTTGGGAACCTGTCTTTTCCATAGTAAATGGCTAGAGATGACAGTAGCCACCTGTCTGTCAGCATTGTCAGATATCCTTTGGCACTGAGCAAGCAAATTTACCCTTAGTTGAGAATCAATCATGAGGACCAAACTAGCTTTCTAAAATGATGTGATGAGAGGGGTTAAGTTTGCCAGTTTATTGCAAGGGTTTAAATGTATGGTTGATGGGTTGTGAAAGTTTAATGCTACATTAAACTTGGATTGTTGAGCATTTGAGACCTTTTCCAGATATTATGAGGAACTTTAACAAGTTCAAGTTCTTTGCATTTAATTTAGCATGTCAACAGTACAACTGTGTTTACTGTATTTGTGAGTGATGTATATGCTAGGTTTGTATTTGGGGAACCTGAGGTTCTTTTGCTACGGCCCTCACAAAACATTGTGGGCCAGAATTTCACTTCACCTAGAAATGGATTGCTGATTGGTCTTGCTGTTGCTAAATGTGGCTGACCATACCTGCAACCCTAGCATACTACTCAGGAAGCTTAAGCTAGAGGATCCAGGATATTGGTCAGCATAGACTGCCTAGTAGAATAGTAGCAAGCACACACACTTTAAAATCATGCTGTTTGGACGTTATGTTGAGTAGTTAAGTGAGAACAGTTTTGTAGGTAGAAACCTGAATGTCTTCAATTATCAAGAGTTCAAAAATGTAGTGTGGTTACAATCTTGTGATATCTCAATTTTGTTATTTTTTGAGAGGGGGTTTCTCTGTGCCCTGGCTGTCCTGGAACTTTGTAGACCAAGCTGGCCTCAAACTCAGAGTTTGTTTCTGTTTCCGAAGTGCTGGGATACCTTTTTTTTTTTTTTTTTTTGAGGAAACAGTTTCATTCTTTGTAATCAGAAGGGAACTACAGGGCAGACATCTTGTGGTAAGCTTACTTAAGTAATACCTAAATTGGAAAATTTTTCTGTATGATCTAACTTTCCAAAAGTGACTTCATTGCCAACACGTACCCTCCCCTTTTTATTTTTTACGTTTGTGGACACAAGTCAGAGGACACTTGTGGGAGTTTGTTCTCCCCCTGTGTGGGTCCTGGGCATCTAGCTTGGATAATCAGGCTTGGCCACAAGTGACTTCTTGCTGGCCCTGGCACCTGTTTTCCAGTAAGCCATTGAAGATTCTTCTAAAAGAGGAAAATGGAATCTTTTGTGATTATTTGAAAATAGTCCAGATAGCTAAGATCTCTTGACGGGAATTACCTAAGGCAGCAATTTGGCATATTCTGACTAGTACTGGGCTTGCAGCCTTGTGAAATGATGATTCTGTTTATCCATTCGCTGAGTACGCTGCACTGACCACCTTCCCAGCCTTAGTTCCTGTTCTGGGAACTTAGGGCTGAGTAGCCTCCAAATGCCCTGCTGTCTGCAGTGTTCTACTGTGGATTGCTTGTGTGTTGGTAGACTACACTGGTAAGAATGGCTAGTGTCAGCAGGGATGGGTCTCTCTGGGTTCCATCTCACTAAGATGAGTGGTGCAAATCTGATCACTTCCTGCAGCCCTTCTAGTTCATGTTTATAAGTTATTACATTGATTGTGTGAGTATGCATCTCCACTTGTGGAGGTGAGAGGATAGTGGCCTGACTGGCTGAGCCATTTAAAGAGAGAGTTGGTATAGTGCTTGTGGATACTTCAGTTGCTTTTTGTGCTCTAGTACCACAGTATTGATAGAATACATACAGATGAATTACGTAAAGTTAGTTAGCTTCAGGGTAGGAGTAAACAGTAGGACTGATAATTGATTCACTTAATATCAACATTGGAATTTAGGACTGTTCTTCCTACGGTATGTATATTTTTCTGCATTAGAAATGGGAAATAGAAAAATAGTTTAAATATAAACAAGTAGTTTTTGTAGTAAATTTCTTCATAATGATCAAAGAAAATGGAAATAATAGGGAATGACACTGTATGTGAC